TATTTGATATCAATTATTTTTATACTTAACATAACCGCCCTTTTCTCCGTTTCGCGTTCCCGCGCTAATCTTATGTAATACTCATGCGCGTTTATCAAGATGCTTCAAATACTAAATAAAATATTTTCATTAGTTCATTAGTATGTTAAATGATATAATGAAAGTTTTTATAGCTTTTAAAATTATTACATTTTGTAATTAAATATTTTATATTTTTATACACTTAATACACTTTTATACATATTTATTAGAGTATTTCGTTGTATGATGATTATAAAAGAAGACTACAAAAAAAAATATGTATATTTGTGGAGAATTATGTGTTATTTTCAATCAATCATACATCGATTATTTTTTGTTATAATAAATAGTGTTTATAATATATTATGCATTAAAGTGACAAAATTTTTATATTTGTTGAGACGTTGTAAATTATTCTGTTCTTTTATATACTAATTTGTCACATGACCATTCTGAAACTAAATAAGATTATAGCATCTTCGATTAAATTTTACTAAAAATACAAAATATAGTAAACGAAAAAAATTTTTATAAAAAAATTAATCATTTAAAAATTCTAATTTTAATAAAAATTTATATAGGTTTTTTTGAAAATAAATTCTCAAAGTTTCAGCATCTTTTCATGTTTTGAATATAATTTAGTCTAAGAATTTTTTTAACGATAGAATATTAAATTTTGAATATTTTGTAATTTAAAATTTAGCTTTATCTCGCATCAAGCATTATAAAAAAGAAATTGAAATTTTGAGTTGATTTTCTCCAAAAGTACATTTTGATAAAAAAATTAAAAAGTAAATGTTCGTTTTATGAATTTCTATATGAAACAATTTTTTAACAAAATATCACTGAAGAAAATCAACGCAATATTTTTTTAATTTTTGAAAACTTTAATGATGTAAAATAGAGCAAAATGTTAGATTACAAAATATACAGAATTTACTATTTTATTATTAAAAAAAATTTCCAACAAATCGTTCAAAACTTGACAAAATGCTGAAACTTCGTTGAAGGTTGATTTTACTTCAAAGAGATTTCGATCTAAATATTGGTACATGTATAAGTAATTATGCTTTCAATCATATATTTTCATTAAAATTAAAATTTTTGAGTTAAATAAATTTTTTTACAAGATATAAAATTTTTGTCTTTTGTTCAATTTTCAAAATTGTACATTTTACATTAAATTATACTCATTTATTACGATTGTTGTAATTGGAAACTGCTCTATCTTACACAGACCATCGATATTAGACTTTTAATTTTCATAGCCAATCAGATAACGATTTTCCGCGTTTTACATTTCTACGTTGCGCAGTCACGCTCGGGACTGGTTTCGATATTCCTAACGAGATTCGCTACGGCTCGTGCCTCTCGTCATCGCCGAAACGTTGACCATGAATACGAGTGATAGAAAAAGAGAAAGCGAGAAAGAGAGAGAGAGAAAGAGAAAGGCGCCAGCGAGGCGTTTTAGATTTTTCGGCGCGTACTTATGTAGGTACGTATAATATATACGTCGGATAGAAAATATTCGCGGTATGTAAAAAAGTAAGTATAGAATAAAGGAACAGGTTTTCGCGTTTAAGTTTTATCCGTCTCATTTCCATACGTTCCTTCTTACGACTCCTATCGTTTCTTTTCACAATCGAATCCGTTTGGGTAAAATGTATTTATCCGTGGCCCTCTTACATGGAAAATGCGCCTTTGCAGATAGAAATTTCACATGGTTACTTTCTCGACGTTCGAGAATTGAAATTCCCGTTCGAATTTACCAGAAATAACGAACGTGAAAATAGCGAGCAAGATCTTGATAGTGGTTAACCGTATATGCGCGCGCTCTTTTCATATGTATATTAGCCGCGGTTTGATTTCTAACGACACGCGTGCATCATCTCCGTTAATCGGAATTTAAAAAAAGCATACTATCGATTTACGCGGTTTAACAGTTGGCGAAGTTAACTTTTCCCGCGGTGGTGTACTTTTCCCTCAAAGCGGACCACTTTTGCGAGTTGTTCTGAAATCGAGGGAAATAAAACGCCTCCCGGTAAACAGCGACGCTTTGTTGGTAGTTATCGTACCGATTTCTGGAATAATATTCAACGAGATACAGATATCCACGTATAACGCAAGAATTGACGGATTTTGATATTATTTCTCTCTCTCTTTTTTTTTCTTTTTTTTTTTTTTTTCGGTAATTATAGAAGTTCATCAAACAGATATGAAGCGATTGATAAAATTTGAAACACGTTTGTTTGCTGTAAACAGTATGAGTATTGGGGAAATAGTATATGAAAAAAGTAATGAATGTTTGGTGAGTTGTAAAAATTTTTTCTTTGATTTAAAAAAACGTAAAATTTTTTTTATCATGAAGTATGCAACTGGTTGATTTAGAAATATTCTGAATGATACAAATTGTAATAGAATATACATTTTTTTTTATAAGAATATTTATATAATTAAAAATTAAATAAATAAATGAATTCTTTTTTTTTATAAATATATCGTTTAAAATACTGTTTACAATTTAGTAATTGAAAAAAATTTATAGGAATGAATAATACAGCAAATAAAATTAATAATTGATATATAATCAATTTAGATTCTTAGAATTAGTCAAGAGTAAGATAAAAATTAAGTTTGTTGCACTTTATTTCCAATTTAAATAAAAATCAAAGAAACTTGAAAGAAAGATGAAATATTATAATTGATACAAACTTTAATAATGCTTATGTTTTCTTAAGTTGTTTAATTAATGAAATATAAAAAATATTTTTTCAAATAATTTAAAAAACAAAATTTCTTCCTATACTTCTATATATATACATCATTAAAAAAAGTGATTGTAACAAGAGAATAAGAAAATACACAGGATGAAGTTTTTTCGCAAAAAATTTTAACAAGAAATTTCCCAAGAATTTATTAGTATGGTTTGCGAAAATACATGTAAATAAGTATGTCACAAACATAAATGTCAATATATTCAACTTTCTTCGAAGGAACAGTGTACAAAATAAAGGGTACTTCGCGTAAACTTTAGCTTTCAAGGTTCAGAAAGTAATGAACGAAGAAATGAGAAGCCGATTGCGAAAAATTTGTTTAGAACAGCTGCAAAGTTCAGATGCAAGGCGCGAAACAGCGTGTAATCACGTGGTGGCTGTGTACAAATATCTGTATCTCCGGCGTGGTGTTTTCTACGCGCGTCTGGTCGCGTGTGAGTGAGAGTATAAATAAACGAGGATAGTTGGTATTATCTGCGACGTGCATAACTATTGTGTACGACGCCCGTAGTTCTGAGATTGAGACCTAACAATTCAACGTTTAACGCCCGTCGCATCGTTTACTCCATTTGTCAAAACAAACGAAGCTTTTGCTTTCAATACGGAATTACGGAGAAGTTTTTTTATTTGATTTCCATATAAGAAAAAAAGAAAAGGAGAAAACTTTTGAATTCAATTAACGGTTATATCTGTTCATTTATTTATACATTTCACTTTCAGAAAAGAAAATTTTTGATAATTTAATAAGGGCACATTTCTTTCTCTAAGTTTTTGTTGCATTTAAAAAAATTATTACTTATCGTATAGTTAAATTATTAAACGCTTGATTCAATATTCTATTTATGTATAAACCTTTTTGGAAACAGTGGCTCGCTTAATTTCTTTCATTGTATATTTAAAATTAATTTTATAGTTATCATATAATATTTATTTTTGCTATAGATAAGACAATAAAATTCGCAATTAAATAAATCGTGAATTATTTATCGTGAAAAAATTGCAATTCTTTAAATTCTTGTCATAACTACGTTTTAGAAAATTTCTGTAGTATATTCTTGAAACAAATATTTTTAGGTCATCTTGATTAATTTCTATTAGATTTAATTACAATTCTCATATTTTAATACAAGAGGTTTAACATATTTAAATCTCTCTAAGCGTTCGAATTGAGCCAATGAAATTAGGAGTTCCAGATGCACGCTGCGACACGTTCGCGTAATGCTTCAACAGATACTAATATCGCAGCCATTTATCCGTATGCGTGCAAATATCATTCTTCAGTAGTATTCGCGACACGCTCGAACGTTATAGACGCTGAATATCGTATCGTATAATAACGTCTAAATATTCATCTCTTCTATTACCGCTCTTAGTCATATGAAATATAAATGTTCAGGTTTGTTACCGTACGTTATCGATATCTTAACAGAGTTTCTATATTGTAG